AGAGGTTACTGAAGAACCAGTAGAGGGAGAAGACCCCTGTTGCCCTATGATGGAAGAGGTTACTGAGGAACCAGCAGAGGGAGAAGACCCCTGTTGCTCTATGGTGGCAGAGGTTGCTGAAGAACCAGAAGAGAGAGAAGACCCCTGTAGCTCTACGATGGCAGAGGTTACTGAAGAACCTGAACAGGGACAACATCCCTATTGCTCTAAGATGGCAGAGGTTACTGAGAAACTACAACTGGGAATAGGCTATGTTTTCTCTAGGATAGCAAAGGTTACTAAAGAAGTGAAAGAAGCTGTAGGCAACTTTTGCTCCAGGATGACAGAGACTACTGAAGAACCAGAAGAGGATAGTTCAGACATGCCCGAACCATCTACAGGCAGAAGCCAAGAAATTGCCAGCATGAAAGGGAGGAAGAGACTTTCTTCGGAAGCTAACGAAAGTGAAACTGATGAGGTCAGATATCCCTAATTATGTGACTCTTCCTCCCCATTGATACCTAACCCAAGATTCCTACCTTGTCCTTATGTGGCATAAAACCTTTCCTTAACCTGCATTCATCTTCATGAAAATCTTCCTTACCACACATTCCCCATCCACTTCCCCAAATTAATGTCTGTGTTGGTACACCCTGTTTTTCTTCCTTCCAGGTGTTGAAAATAGCGAAAAGCGTAAAATTATTCATTCAGCAGAATTCAGAAAGACATAAAGCAGGAAAAAAATCAACAATATTAGTTTTCTATCATAGAAATTATAAAAAAAGGAATGGAAATCAGTCAAATGAGGATGAAGAGAGCAATGAATTGCCTACCTCAAGCAATGTCCAGGGCCCATCAGAAGCACAAGACTGGTAACTATCTGTCTCATCTCTGGATTAACCTCTAGAAAGGGTCTCCTGTGCAGACAAATTAAATATCACACCAAGATTCTTGGATGTTTGGGATTAAAATTCAATCAAAAGATTTTGAAAAGGTCTGTGTGTCTCTAATAATAGTGTTTTCTAATAATGGGGAGGGGGGAAAGAAGGGGAAGAGCATGTGTATGAAGAGGGAGGGAGTTGAGAACCTTCCAGGTTGTGAGACAGGCTGGCAGCCACAGTTAGCCAGACATTGGGATTAAGGACTAGATGAGGAATGAGCATTGAAGGCAAATTTCCTGTTTAATACTATATCACACAGTAAAAGAGGAAAAGGAATTGTTTTTTTGTGTGTGGGAGGGTGGGGATGAGGGTGTAGATTGGGAGAGTTGTGATGTGTGTGGGGTAGTAGTATGCAATAATGAGTTTGATTCCATTTTTGATGTTTGTCTGCTGACAGATTTTAAGCTTCATCTCATTCCCTTCTCCTACCCCACATCTGGGCAAGCTGATAAAAACAGCTGGAGAGTTACTACATTTGAAATGGAAATGAACAGATATGCCTGGTCTCAACTATTGGAATTATTGCCTTGCCTAAAATTCCCTTATCCGTAGCATTAATTCTTTCAAAATATCTCCTACTGAATATGGACAATCTGACCTAATGAGTAATAAATTAAAAGTAATTCTTTGATACTTGTAATCAGCTTGAAAAATGAGACCCTATGGACTGCTTCCCCCAGTTAAAATAAGTTAATAATTAACATCTTCCTCAGTTTTATAAAAAAGCTCAATCTAAATTAAAATAGAATCTTCAATAATTGAAACCCATTATATAAGACCTATTTAGAGAATTAGACCTATATAGATGATTATCCTCACTGCTTATGGATTTAACAGCCAAATTTGGATTGTTCTTAAATCTGGAAAACATAAAATAGTGTCTCAGTGTAGATTACTGTAACCTTAATGCCATGGTCCCCCTCATCAGGTCTCCATACCTAATATTATTCAAATTACTGACTCCATCCAATAAGTAACTGGTAAATGCTTTGCAGTAATAGCAAAGTATTTGGCTAAATGTCCTGTTCAGTTTCTGTTTCAACAGCCTCTCACTTGCAATGTGCTTACCTTCACCTTCAAAAGGACATAGTAGACCTCTACCACGGTACTTGGTGTGGTACCTCTCCACTCCCGTCATCTCATATAATCTTCACAGGCAGAATATTAACTATATCTAGATTTTCCCAGATACTCAGGTATGACATTACACTGATGACAACCTCTTCTGAGGAGTTTCCTATAACACACTTATTCAGGACATAAACATTAGCAAAAAAGATCACAAAAAGAAAATCATCCATTGGCCCCACACATAGTACATAGCCACAATACCTCAGTTAAATTTCTGAAAATTATTTGATAATCTGAGGGCTGCTCCAATCCAACATTGTCAAGAAAAAGCTTGTAGTCTCAGCACCCACATTTTTAAAACAAGCCTAATATCATTTAGACATTTTTTGTATCCTGGAGGTAATATATTCCTCACATACAAATTTTATTTAAGTTAATTCATTCTGTCATTTGTAAATTGGTCCATCTAGGATGAGGCCACCTGCAACAAAAAACCATAGAATTTGTCTAAATTGCTATGCAACAGGCATTTGTGATAGGACCCCCAGAGACTTCTTCACTATAGTGACTTTAGCAACCTTGTACTTACTGAAGTTGGGATTCTGGCAAGATGGCTGAATAGGAACAGCTCCAGTGTGCAGCTCCCAGCAAGAGCAATGCATAAGGCAGGTGATCTCTACATTTCTAACTGAGGTACCTGGTTCATCTCATTGGGACTGATTAGACAGTGGATGCAGCCCAAGGAGGGCAAGACAAAGCAGGGTGGGGCATCGCCTCACCTGGGAGGTGCAAGGGGCCACGGAACTCCCTCTTGTAGCCAAGGGAAGCCATTAGGGACTTTTCCCAGCACTCTGGCACTCTGGCTCAGATACTGTGCTTTTCCCATGGTTTTCACAACCCGCAGACCAGGAGATTCCCTCTGGTGCCTACACCACCAGCACCCCAGGTTTCCAGCACGAAACTGGACAGCCATTTAGGAAGACACTGAGCTAGCCACAGCAGTTATATTTCATACCCCAGTGGCACCTGGAATGCCAGCAAAACAGAACTACTCATCCCCCTGAAAAAGGGGACTGAAGCCAGGGTGCCAAGTGATCTGGCTTGGCAGGTCCCACCCTGATGAAGACCAGCAAGCTAAGATCCACTGGCTTGAAATTCTTGCAGCTAGCACAGCAATCTTATATTGACCTGGGATGTTCTAGCTCAGTGGGGGAAGGGGCATCCACCATTGCTGAGGCTCGGGTAGGCAGTTTTAACCTCACCTGTGTAAACAAAGTCACCAAGAAGTGTACACAGTGATTGGGTGGAGCCCATGGCAGCTCAGCAAGGCCAATGCAGGCAGACTGTGTCACTAGACTCCCTCCTCACAGGGCAGGACATCTCTGAAAAAAGGCAGTAGCCCATCAGGGACTTATAAATAAAGCCCTCATCTTCCTGGGACAGAGCACCTGGGAAAAGGGGCAGTTGTGCATTCAGCTTCAGCAGACTTAAGCATCCCTGCCTGGAAGCTCTGAAGGGAGCAATGGATCTCCCAGCACAGCGCTCGAGCTCTGGTAAGGGACCGACTGCTTCCTCAAGTGTCTCCCTGACCCCCGTGTATCTTGACTGGGAGATACCTCCCAGCAGGCGCTGACAGACACCTCATACGGGAGAGCCCTGGTTGCATATAGTGGGTACTCTTCTAGGATGAAGGCTACCAAAGGAGGGAACAGGCAGCAATCTCTGCTGTTCTGTAGCCCCATGGGTCATTCCCAGGCAAACAGGGTCTGGAGTGGACCTCCAGCAAATTCCAGCAGACTTGCAGCAGAGGGGCCTCACTGTTAGAAGGAAAACTAACAAACAGAAAGAAATAGTCTCAACATCAACAGAAAGGACATTCACTCAGAGGCTCCATCCAAAGGTCACCAACTTCAAAGACCAAAGTCTGATAAATCCATGAAGATAGGAAGAAACCATCACAAAAAGGCTCAGAACTCCAAAAGCTAGAACACCTCTTTTCCTCCAAGGGATCACAACTCCTCACCAGCAAGGGAACAAAACTGGATGGAGAATGAGTTTGATGAATTGACAGAAGCAGGCTTCAGAAGTTGGGTAATAAACTTCTCTGAGCTAAAGGAGCATGTTCTAACCCAATGCAAGGAAGCTAAGAGCCTTGAAAGAAGGTTAGACAAAATGCTAACTAGAATAACCAGCTTAGAGAAGAACATAAACAATTTGATGGAGGTGAAAAACACAGCACGAGAACTTTGGGAAGCATATACAAGTTTCAGTAGCAGAATCGATTAAGTAGAATAAACAATATCAGAGATTGAAGATCAACTCAATGAAATATAGTGAGAAGGCAAGATTAGAGAAAAAAAACAGTGAAAAGAAATAAAGACCCCAAGAAATACGGGATTATGTGAAAAGACCAAATCTGCATTTGATTGGTGTACCTGAAAGTGACAGGGAGAATGAAACTAAGGTGGAAAACACTCTTTAGGATATTATGCAGGAGAACTTCCCCAACCTAGCATGGCAGGCTAACATTGAAATTCAGGAAATATGGAGAACACCACAAAGATACTCCTCAAGAAGAGCAACCCCCAGACACATAATTATCAGATTCACCAGGGTTGAAATGAAGGAAAAATTGCTAAGGACAGCCAGAAGAAAGGTCGGGTTACTCACAAAGGGAAGCAAGCCCAACAGACTCACAATGGATCTCTTGGCAGAAACCCTGCAAGCCAGATGAAAGTGGGGGCCAATATTCAACATCCTTAAAAAAAAAGTTTTCAACCCAGAATTCCATATCCAGCCAAACAAAGTTTCATAAATGAAGGAGACATAAAATCCTTTACAGACAAGCAAATGCTGACACCACCAGGCCTGCCTTATAAGAGCTCCTGAAGGAAGCACTAAACATGGAAAGGAACAACTCGTACCAGCCACAGCAAAAACATACCAAATTATAAAGCCCATCGACACTATGAAGAAACTGCATCAACTAATGGGCAAAACAACTAGTTAGCATCAAAATGGAAAGTTCAGATTAACACATAACAATATTAACCTTAAATGTAGATGGGCTAAATGCCCCAATTAAAAGACATAGACTGGCAAATTGGATACAGAGTTGAGACCCATTGGTGTACTGCATTCAGGAGACCCATCTCACATGCAAAGACACACATAAGTTGAAAGTAAAAGGATGGAAGATTTACCATCTTGGAAGATTTACCAAGAAAATGGAAAGCAAAAAAAAAAAAAAAAAAAAAAAAAAAA